TAAAATGTAGTATTGAGAATCTCTGCTCGCCCGAACCGGTGACGGTGACGATAACCGATTCGAGCTTGGATATTGATCACTTATTTGATTTAAGTGGCACTGCCTTTGGAAAAATGGCCATCCCTGGAAAAGAAGACCAACTTCGGAGCAAGGGAATTGTGGATATTCAATATAAGAAGTAAATTCATAAACTACCTATACAAATATTAGGGTGTAAACGAGTCGAGCCAGATCTGAAGCCCTGGACGAGCCAACAATCGAGCTCCAACTCGACTTATTTCTAATCAATATTAACGAGCCAAATTTTTCAAAAAAAAAAATATTTTTTCGAGCCGATTAAATTACGCTCGTGACTGAACGAGCTAGGGCCCGGCTCGTTTACAACCAATATAATACATTAATTTATCATATCATTATCATTATATGATTTTTTTTTTATATAATAATGGACTAGGGTGGACTGCAATTATAAGGGGGCAAATGTGGCATTCCGAGTCGACAAAACCTCAAACCAGTACTATTTCGCGATGGCTGTACAATACTTTAATGGTGATGGGCTCACGGGAGTCGAGCTCAGGCGGGCGAACACGAACGATGCTTGGCTCGCGATGAAAATATCTTGGGGCGGTGTTTATCGGGTTAACTTACCCGCTGGCTATGGCCCGCCGTTTTCAGTCCGCCTGACCCAGTCCTCGAAAACCGTGGTGGCCGAAAACGTGATTCCGGCCAATTATGATATCACAATCTACAAATCAAATGTCAATTTTTGATGGTTTCGATTATTATTATTGCTCGTTTAGTGTGAATTTACTATTTCTTGTTATACTTTTTTAAAAAAAAAAAAATAATAAAAAAGACCCACCCATGTTTCTAGATTAAATTGGTCAGTTTAATCCCNAGAAAAAAAAAAAAAAAGAAAGAAAAAATGTGGTCAAACTATATAGAATGTACGTAGAGGAGACTTCTTTATTTAATGGTCCAGTCTCTCGGCTTTCTTCAATAATCATAAATAAAGTTTATGTTATATTTTTTTGTGAGTGTTGTTATAATACTTTGTGGTTATATATTTGAATAAAATAGGCTGAATAAAGTACGTATCAATTAAATTAGAGAGGATGATAACATATATTTGTGCAATTTGAGAATTTGGTCTCGACTGTTTGTATAGCTTGGTATCAAATCAGGAGCTTGCATTTTATTTACAGAATTGATCAACGTAAAGAACTTATGATTAGTTTATTGGACCGAAAAAAGGGTAATGAAAAATTCAAAAGAGTAACGTTTAGGAAGAGAGGATTAAAAAAAATGCAATACAATATATATTTTTTTATTATTCATCAAACTTTAATATGACAAACTTGTATTGAAATAAATGAATGCGTTATGTATTATGTTTGATAAAATTAGATGATAAGTCAGTTTATAGTTTATAAATGAATTTCAAGCTTATAGGTAATAGCTTATGTCTTATGACTGAAAAATTATTTGATATGATAAAAGTGTTTACTAAAATTAGCTGATAAGTCAAATGAAATAAAAATTTCAACGAGCTTATTTAAAAAAACTTCCAAAAGAAGCTTATGATATAAGCTCGAACATTTTTAAAAAAACTCACCCTTCCAAACTAAACTTATTGGTATACTAAAAACTTATAAACTAGTCATACTTAGTATAAATCACTAGTCAAATCTATATATATATAATTGATATCAAGTTTCAATAAATTTTATTCAACCAACAATTAATTATAATAGTAGTGCATTTAATAAAAATAAGTGTTCATTTAATAAAAATATGGTCACCATGTAATAAAAATATGTAACTATCAGTTACACGATTTATTTTGACATGTCATTTTTGGACGGTGCCCATTTTTTTAACGCATTTTTATGTCCTAAGATACAAAATATTTTTGTACATATTTTGATACTGTATATATTTTAGTATTATATAAATACATATTTTAGCAATAATTAATAATAAGTACAAATATCTCTATTTTCTATTGCAGTCATACAATAATAAAAAAATATTTTTCTATATATTACAAAGATACATCAAATATTTGAAAAATCAAATCCCATAAAATAAAACCCTTCATTGCTCCTTCAAAATGGTCCTACAATATATTTAAAATTTTTAATATTATATGTATAAATATAATTTATAATACTCCATGTTTGAAATTTAATACTATTGTCTAACTTATAATTCTAATATTATATGATCTTATAATATTTTATTTATATTTGTGCAAAACATTAGGATCCGTTATTCTAGCTAAAGCAAATATTTTTGTCCCATAAATTGCGTTATTATTTCTAAATTTGGTCCGGAATTAGATGTTTCGGAAGTATTTTTCTTCGCAAAATTCCTTTCAAGTGTCAACATACTCAAACTCCCTTTTGACTAGTAGAAAATTGATTTTTCGAGAAAGAAACACCGCATGAAGAAGTTGCGAGGATTGGAATTTATGTCCTTAAAATTTGCTAAGGCTAGTACATGGCCCTTTTGACTAGTAGAAAATTGATTTTTCGAGAAAGAAACACCGCATGAAGAAGTTGCGAGGATTGGAACTTATGTCCTTAAAATTTGCTAAGGCTAGTACATGGCTAGTGCAGGTGGGGTATTACGTGATTTTTGTGGCCGATGGGTTAAGGGCTTCATCATGAACATAGGCTTTTGTTCAATCACGGGAGCGGAACTCTGGGAGATGTTCCAGGGCCTTAATGTAGCATGGAAGTTGGGATTTCGACGGGTGATAGCGGAGGTAGATAGCCTTTGTGCGTTTTTAATGGTACAAAAGCGACAGGGAGGAGCATGGGATCCATACTTCAATGATAAGGTCCATACGAGAATTATTGATGAGGCCGTGGGAGGTGAAGATGGTTCACGAATACCGTGAAGCAAATTTGGTGGCCGACTGCTTGGCCAAAGCTGCCGCACGAAGCCCAACAGGTTTTCAGCTACTAGATGAGCCGCCGGGAGAAGCTCGAAAAGGGCTACATCATGATATTCTCGGGGTAGCATACCCAAGAAATTGCGTTCACACTTAAAGAGTTGGTTAATTACGGTACCGCCCCTAGTGTGAACACTCACAGTATATGTTCTAATATCTAGCACCTAGGCCTTTGCCTCTCTTAAAAAAAAAAAGAAAAAAAAAATTGCTAAGGCTCCATTCAAAGAAAAAATAATGGAATAGGACGAGGCGGTGAGCTTTTGGCAGATCAACGTCAATCTGGTCGGACTAATGCCCACCGGCAACCAATAGTATAAGTTCTTTTTTACAGGTGTGGTTTTCCTTTCTGATCAATTGAATGGTCAATTACACTTTTCCTTCACTTCGTTTCGCTTCTAAAGTTGGATCGATTACATTGAGAAAGAGTTTTGGATTCATTATCTCCATCGACATTATACAAAATTAAATTACAATTAGGAGTGTATTCAATTGGATACTTAATACAATTTAGAAATCTTAGTGTATTCAATGTAGACTAGTATTTGACTAAGTGCATTTGCACAGATGTAAATAAAGTATTATAAATTATTATAAATTATTTGTATGCATATAATATTAATATTATAAGTTAGATAATGTTATTATATTTTACACATAGAGTATTATTACTTATTAATGCATGTAATATTAAAATTATAAGTTAGATAATAGTATTATGTTTTAAAATTTGATTATTGGTTAAAATAAATAATACACAACGATTTGAATGCATATGAACCACTATATTGAATACATAAATTATAATAAATAATGTAGTTTTGTAATTTTGAGGGTTCACGACTAATTAATTTATTAATTTTATTATTAAAATTGCTTATGTGATTTTACAGAATTTAACTATAACATTACAATAAATTAATTTATTTCAAAAAAACAATCGTTTAATCAGATAAAAAAATATATTATTGATCTTAGAATAAAGAACATGAACAAAATGTTTTTACAATATTTTTTTTTTATGTTTATGTAACTTTTATGTATCATTTAGTGTAAAATAAAATTATTAATTTTAATAATAACTATATACGATATAATAAAAAAATATAAATATTACTCAATTAATATAAAATATAACCCTTTTTGTCTTAATTAATCCAAATAATAATAATAATAATAATAATAATAATAATAGTAATAATAATAATAATAATAATAATAAATAATAATAATAATAATAATAATAATCAGGGCTGAGCATGGGACTCGGAAAATTTCGAACCATTTCATAACTCGAACCAAAATCAATCCGAACCAAAAAGTAATCATTGACCGTTTGACTTTCTCCGAATCGAACTGAACCGAAAAAATAATTGGTACGGTTCTGGAGATTTCAAAAATATCCGTATCAAGAACTGAACAGAATCGTCTCTTACCGTACTGAACCGAAGAACCGAAATTAAGAACTGAATTATAAAATTAGATGATTATTGTTAATATATTTTATGTCAACTTTAATCCTATATAATTTAAAATTTTATGAAATGCAAATAAAATATAGTAATAACAATTAAGCTTCACTAAAATTTATGCGTAGTAATACTTAGTTAAATTTTTCCTGTTATGAAAATAATATTTAAAATGGTATGAAAGGTTAAAAAAATAATTTTTGAAGAAAAAACTATATTATATTTTGTTTGAATTTTAAATTTTCAATATTAGTTGCACAATTTTAGTCTTAACTAAAATTTATATTTACTTCTGATTTCAAAATAAAATCTTTAATATGAGAAAGTATTGGTTTTTTAAAGCATATAAAAATTAAGAAAAATGCTATGTGTACATAATGAATGTACATAAAGATGTACATAACACTCACATGGAGTGGGGTCCATTTAATTTTTTTTAGTAAGTCCCACTCAATGTATTATGTAAATCTCTATGTACATTTCTATGTACCTATAGCACTTCTCAAAAATTAAATAACTAAAATCTAGAGTTTCTTCTAAAGTTGATTTCAAAATAAAATCTTCTACATGATGAAGTATTGATGAATGTTGTTTTTTTAAGCATACACAAATTAAAATATAACTAGGTAGCCATTCCAAAAAAAATTAAAAAATAAGAAATTTCCGAAGATCCGAACCGAACCATACCGAACCGAGTTGTTCTGATAGTCCTGAATACCAAACCGAACCGAACCGAAAAATAATAATCTTCGAACTGAACCGTCCCAATTTTTTTGGTACAGTTATGGAGATCGAATTTAGTGATCTCTGAATTTGGTACGGTTCTGAAGATTTCTCAATTTCCAAACAGTACCAACTCATGCTCTAATAATAATATTGGATTGTAACGGTTATTGAAGAAAAATTCCACATAAGTAAACTTTATTTATTTTATTTATTAAGTTTTATTTAATGATTTACTAACAATTATATATATACTAGTATTCGAAAATGTGCATTTGCACATATGTAAATAAAAATATTATAAATTATTTGTATGCATATTATATTAAAAATATACGTTAGACAATGATATTATATTTTAAACATAGAGTATAATAAGTTATATTTATTCATATAATATTAAAATTCTAAGTTAGATAATGGTACTGTATTTTAAAATTTGATCAATGTTCAAAATAAATAGTACATGACGTTTTGAGTGCATATGAATCATTATATTGATTGCGTAAAATGTAATAAATAATATAATTTTTGTAATTTTGAAGGATCATGACCAATTAATTAGCTGAAAAAATATTAAATTTATTATAACACTTGCTTATACGATTTTAAGGAATTTTACTATGACATGAAAATAAATTTTATTAAAAAACAATGTGTTAATCAGATAAAAAAATATATTAAATTGGTTTTAGAATAAATAACATAAACAAAAAAAATTATAATATAATTTTTTATGATTATGTTACTTTCATATATCATTTAGTGTAAAATATAATTATTAATTTTAATAATAATTATTATATAATAAAATATAATTATTAGTGAATTAATATAAATAATGGGTTTTTCTTAATTAATCTAAAAAAGTGCATGGAAATATTTTATCATTAATGGGATATGATGGATTAATGGATATCATTAATGAGATATGGTAGATTAATGTTGTAATGATAATAATAATAATAATAATAATAATAATAATAATAATTATGACGATGACGATAATAATAATATTAGAATGTAATGGTTATTGGAGAGAAAATGCCACATATATAAAATTTATTAGGTTTTATTTAATGATTTGCTCGCGGCTTTGCTGAAGGAACCTCGCGGCGAATGCTGCGTGTTGTTAAGTTGTTTTTAGCCGAGTGGCGGCCTATGAATAAATAAAAGTAGAAATCTAAAGTACTAAAAAGTGATCACGGCAGTATGACTCGTGTACGACACGGGTTGTTTGAAAAAAAAAATATAAAATATAAAATAATAGAAAAGGCACGTGTTGTTGTTAAAACTATTTCAACTCTTTAAAATATATTAGAAAGATCATGTAATATTCTATAACTATTCAATGTATTTTTATAGATATTCTAAAAAGATTTAAATCATTTATTTATGGTTGGATGGAAAAGATATAATATGCAAATGGCTATATATTTTTTGTAAAATTATAAAAAGTTATTGTTTACATTAATTATATAAATAAAATAATATACAAAGCTAATTTTTTTTTTTATATGATAAGAATCCTAAGATGTAATGTTGCCAAGTAAAAGAATTTAGAGTTGGAGGATTTACACGGCATATAAGAATCCTATTTATTTGGAAAGCTTTATAAGATAAGAATCCTATAAGAATCCTATTTATTTCGGAAGCTTAAGAATCCTATTTATTTGGGAAGCATTATAAGATAAGAATTCTATTTATTTTGGAGTTGGAGAATTTACACACGGCATATAAGAATGTTATTTGTGTTTGAGGGATTGGATTAAGCAAAATCTTATTTATTAAGTATTGTTTAAAATCCTATTTATTTGGGAGTTTGAGGAATTGGATTAAGCAAAAATTTTATTTATTAAGTACTTTATTTTAAACAATTAGGGAATGTATCTGAATCAAAAGCCGAAGCATGTAATGTTGCAAAGTAAACTTGTGAAACGTGCGAGGCAGCCATTTAGGCTCAACACGTTTTCAAATTATATTAAGAGGAGATACAATATGGATGTCATATCGAAACTCATCAAAAGATGATTAATTTGATATATTATATATGTAAAATCGACAAGAAATACAAAAGTTATCAACTTTTATAATATATTTGCAATTTATTGGTTATCATAGGAAATGATATTAAAATATAATTAATCTAAATATTAATTTATATTCAAGCCTAACTTCAAAGCATGATTTTTTCTGTCAAATAAAATTCTAAAACATGAGAATTTGCTGCGTAGACTCAACGCATTCTGAAATTATGTATATGGAGGGAATATCCTGAGGATGATGGCTTTGTACGTAGAAAATCGTCCCCAATTTACGCTTCATCTAATGGTTTTCATGTTGCGATAGACACGTGGTTTGTTTGCAAGATTTTCAAACTCAAACTTTAACCAACATTAACGGCTACGTTAGTTGCGGTTTTTGGTACGCGAATTTCCTCCTCTCAATTCCTGTACTGTATAATATACCATGTTTTAAATACAGGAACGTCGGTATTACCGGTAATATCGTGTATCGGTGGTCCGACCGGTATGATTATCTTCAAAATACTGTTTGGACCAAAATACCGATCTATATCGACTTCATACTGGAAAATACCGGTTTTACCGGACAATATACCAGTTAAAATACCCGATATACTGTATTTTATAAAAAAAAATATTTTTTACAACATTTTTATAACATATTTTTATTAATTTGTTTATATAAATAAAAAATTCTACATTTAATTTTAATATATTTATATTATTAGTAGATTTTACTTAATTTTAGTATTTTTTCTAGATAGTTTTATATATTATTTATATTATAATAATAGATTAATTCAATATTTATTAAAATCGGTAAAATATACGGTTGAACCGGTTGAACCGCATACCGGTGACTCGTTCGGTATGATTCCGGGTACGGTATTTAAAACATTGATAATATATATATCAGCTCAAAAGTAAATGTTAGGATTCTAATATTGAACCCAAAAAGAAAAAGTTATGTTAAGAATAAGTTTAACTGCGTGTAATCTACTATAGCTATACTAAATTGCTCAGCCAAAAAGTAAAAAACTTTATTCCTGAAAACATTTCATTTTATGATCATTTTAATTAGATGTTTAATTATATATGATATATGCAAATAAAATATAGTACGCGTATGTTCCACTAACATCATCATATATTATATATAATGCATGCCCTCAAAGTTAAGTAGAGTTTACAGACGATTAATAAAAAGTTGAAGTTTAAACCTAGCTATAGACCCATAAAAAAAATATAAAAAGAAAAAGGTGCTAATGAACATTTTTTGGAAAGTTTATTCAACATTTTGATGGAAGTGATGTCTCTATAAAAATATTAATTTTGGCAAATTAAGCCTTAATAGACGCAAAGAAATTGAGGAATCACTCTATAAATAGGGTTATATATTGACAAACATATTAATCATCCCAAGTACTCACAACTAAGTAATTAGCTGATTCTCTCTTCTCCCTAGATCATCAATGGCTAACTTATCTCTTTTGATCACATGCTTGGCTTTGTTTTCTCTCGTATCCAACTTTTGCTTCGGCCTTAATCCTAATGATTGGGGCCAGGGTTGGAGACCGGGCTCTGGCTCACCCCCGAGTATGGGATGGGGTCTCGGGTCTCCCTCTGGTTTTGGTTCTGGCATGCCCCCTAGTGGGTCGGGTTCACCCCCGGGTTATGGTTCGGGTTCACCCCCGGGTTATGGTTCGGGTTCACCTCCTAGTGGGTCGGGTTCACCCCCGGGTTATGGCTCGGGTTCACCCCCTAGTGGGTCGGATTCGCCCCC